GGGGCTCGCCGGTTCAAGGCCGAGGATCAAAAAAAAAAAAATATTGCTGGGGACTACAGACTAAAAGAAACTGTTCAGTTTCGGCCGCCGGCCCTTTCTTGGTCTTCGGACTGCAGCAGCGGCAAGCGCCGCAAGGATTTGCTATCGTGGGCTTGAAGACAAGAAGTTTTCAGATTCTGCTCAAATTGTGTGTGAGGTGATGGAAACAATGTAGCTGTAGGGGTTCTAGCGAACATGAGAGCACTTAGGCATGTGGCTTTCGGTCCCGAGATTTGGCTTTAAGGTTTAGAGTTTAGGGTTTAGGGTTTGGGTTTTTTTAGGGTTTTTTTTTTTGACGCACCTTTTCTCCACTGCCGGAGACTGTCCACAGACTAGATGCGAAGCAACCCTTTACTTATGCCTCTCTCAGTGGGCGTTCGCGTGGATGTCCAGCTCACTGTCCACCGCATCCGCTGCCAAAGTGACGTCTTCACCATTCTCTCCCTCACCCTCTGTTGTGACTTCGGAGCCTTCGACCTCACCCTCGTCGATCGAGTCGGATGTGCGGCTGCGGAAGGCGTCCAGTCCGCTGACGCCATAGCGAGCCACCACATGGGCATCAGTCATGACCCCAATTTGCCACATATGGATGTGGCATTCTTGGACGCGCGGCATGATCATCACACTGGCAGAGGAAGCAGCGGCCATGTCCACACAACCCTCGACTTCGTTATCCCCCGATGATTCATCACCAGCAGCGGAGGTGCGCCCATACGTGACGTCCACTGCCACATTGCCACGGTCCGGCACATCTACCTGCCACTCCCCCAGAGGCATCCCTTGGCTGTCCCTCACGACCAATTGCACGCTGCTGGTCCTGCCTGTGTCCGCCACCAGGCCATCTCCGGCTCGGAAGCTGGCGCGGCAGCCAGCAGGATGTTGTCTAGCACCTTCTTCAAGCTCTTCCAAGTAGCTTCACACCACGCTATTTCTTGTTCATCATAGTGCAGGGCCTCCACGGGCTGCTGTGCAAGCAGCAG